ACACACACACACACACACTCACACACACACACACACACACCGAAGACTTTTTGTCTTTGAAAATCTGACATTTTCCTTCGTCCTCCCTTTTATTTAAATACAGAGCGGGAGATTGACAACAGGAGAGAGAGAAAAGAAAAGAAGAGTAAGAGAGATCAACAACTCCTTTATCTATCCTCCTCTCCATGGAGAGAGAGAGAGAAATAAAGAAGGAAAGAAAGGTCAATGTTTCATTCTCTCTGTTTATCTGTCCTTCTCTTCAGAAAGAAAGAAAGAAAGATCAACATCACCTGTAAGTTCCCTTCTTCCTTCTGTTATCTTTCTGTCCGGAACACCACTTCATTCTTTCTCTTTCCTCTTTTAGAAATAAGACAGATCACTTCTTTCCTTCTATCTCTCCTCCTCTCTTGAATCCAGACAGATTTAAAGTGTGGATCATGTCCATCAATAATCACTCATAGTGATCTTCACTCCATCAAACACATTTCTGATTCTCATATTCAGTTTCTCTCTTTTCTTTCAGTCTCCCTTCTTTCTTTTTTTTTTATCTCCATGTTCTCTCTCTCCTCTTATCCTCCACTCTCTGCTCCATGATATAAAAACACAGCAGATATCTGCGGAGCAACAAGAAGCCTGATTAGTTCACGCTGCACATGAACGTCTCTCACAACATTACGCACGGTCCTTCGTTGTTTCTGCTCGTTACGGTGGCGAAGAGGACGCGGAGGAGGAATCATGGGAAATAAAGCGACAGCTAAATAAAAAATAATGTGATCAATTAACAGACACGTGCGGTAATTATCTGCCAAAATCCCCATGAATTAAAAACACGAATGACTGAAAAGCAAAAAGTGGAGTAAACTCACCGGCTGTCCGCGTTGTTTGGATGAATCTGAATAAGAATCTAATTGTGACCCAGAAACGAGCTGCAGCTTCTTTTTTTTTTTTTCATTTGAGTGTTAGTGGATAAAAGTGAAAGAGGAAGCACATGAGGAAGATGAGGCGTTCAGGGTGTAGCCAGCTCGCTCCGCTCGCGTAGACTTTGCACACTGAAAAGTGCAGCGGAAAAAAACTCCGGCGGACGCGCAGGACGCACTCTTTGGATTTAATTCACTAACCCTCGTGTGTGTCCACGGAAAGAAACCGAACCGGGCGCGTTATCTGCCGTGGTTTTATTTTTTCCTCGTTCAAAGATTTTTAAGGCGCAGTTTGTTCCTTCGCACACCGCGAGCACCGTGAACCCGCCATGTTGAAAGTGCTTTGACATTTTGGCACAGTCCGGTGTTTTCCGTGGGATTTTTACGCACGGGGGTGTGTGGGGGGGGGGGAGAAAAACCCGCATGACTCTTGTATAGAATAAACACGTAGATTGTTGCGTTAAAATTTCACGTTAATATTTTGCAACTTGAAACTATTTCGTATTTTTTTAACGCAGAAATAAAACAGTTACAATATTAAGAGGGGTTTTTATTTTTTTTATTTTTTATTTTTTTGCGCAGGGAATTAAAATGTGCGTAATTTCCCCGGCAGTTAATAACGTGTGAGGAAACAACGTAATAAACGGACTGACCGGGAGCTGCCACGAGACACCGACCTTCTCTTCTTTAATTCCAGCGCGTGAGACACTTTGGAACAAGTTGCTCTCGCGCGGACGAACGCTGGTTTCTACAGAAACCGCCTCGTGAGCACTTCAGGGTTTTTTAAAGCGGAGGAGGAGGAGGAGGAAAATAACTCCGGCTTTATTTCGTCGACAAAATAACAAAAGCGAAGCAGCCGCAGTGGACTCGTCCCTCCCAGCTCCGCGCGAGCCCTCACCTGTCTTACCTGTCCGAGTTTCCCGTCGTCTCCCCGTCTCCAGACCTCCTCTGGGTTTTTTTTTTCCACCTTCCTCTCCTCTTCTGGTTCTCGTGAGCTCGAGCAGAGCGACGTCTTTCAGCTGCTGCTGCTGCCCCCGTTCCAATATGGCATCTCCCGTCTGCGCATGTCCAAAACACATGTACAGATATTTCTCAAGCCAACTCCTCCGCTGACCTTTTTCAGCAGCAGCAGAAACAAAACTAAAACCGAACGAGGAGAAATGTGAGTTACACAACAGAGGCGATTTTTTTTTAAAATTCGTATCGAGGCTTATTCTGATGTAATAGTATTAACGTACAAGTATCTGCCTCAACATCACTGGCACATAAATCCACATTCAGTCTTTTATTTCAGGCTTCACTGTCTGTTATCACACGAATATAATATTTATTGGTGAATTCATTTTGACTGGAGACGATGATAAAAACACATAGAAGTATATCTACACACGTGTTCCATCATTATAGTTGTTCATGTGTATGAAAGAAGCCTGATAATAATAATGTAGGATTCCTTAGTTGCTTTTTTTTTTAACCATTTCCCCTCTGTTCCATTTCCTTCTTTCTTTTCTTTTCTTTCTTTTTTTTAATATCAATTTCCTCCATATTTCATATTTCTTGTTATTTATATAATGAACAGTATTAATCCTGGACCATCTCTCTTATCAAAGTCAACACTATCCTCTAGTGGTCGGAGCGCATCTCACCACCTCTGATAACCCCCCCCCCCC